GTAGGTACGTACGTACGTACGTACGTACGTACGTACTACTACACACACACACACACACACACACACACACACACACACACACACACACACACACACACACACACACACACACACACACACACACACACACCACACAATGGTGACAAGATAAGAGAAAACCATCTTACCTTCCAGGCTCCACGTCTGTGAGGTTGGTAGTGGAAAAGTCCTCCACACCAGAGATGGTGTACTTGTGTACGCCCTCCAGGACAATACTGCCATTGTTTCCTATAGCCTCGTCCAGCAAGTACATAAACCTGATGAAGGACGGACATGGGAGTCATCAGTAACCTGGCTTTTAACTGCTCCTGACAGTTTTCATCCTCAACAAGTACTACCTACTTTCCATAAATGGTGTATCATTGGTACAGATATATTTTTCTTTGGTTAACAGATTTTCTAGAAAAATAATGGAGTGGGCAGGCGAAAAAAAAAAAATAAAAATAAAAACAGGCCTAGGCATCCTATTATGGCCCAAAATGGTACAATAGGAGCCATGAAGTCAACACACCAGGCTGGTTCAAAATCTAAACAATGAATTTTGAAGTTTTAATGATACCATTGCATTGAAAGATGGAATAACTATAACAACTAGGATGAATAGGACTGTTTTCAACAGTTCAGGGCAAAATATGAGCATTTTGCAGTTGATTCTAAATTTTTATTTTTATTTGCAAATCAGAAAAAAATGAAGCGGGCAAATCTGTTAACCAAGAAATTAAATTGAGGTGGCCTTTGTCTGAAATAAAATCATTACATCAAAGCCAGGTTTTCAGAAAGCAATTTACATACTCTGAGTTGCTATAACTTACCTGACTTGACTGATAGCTTTTGTTGGTCTCCTCTGTACATCGGAGAACTGTTGAATGTACAGTAACATTTCAAATGTGAGTTAATGTACAGGATATATGTAACGTCACAGGTATTAGGGTATCATAATTTCAGGCATTACTCTAAAGGTTCTAAATATGTTCAACAATTCAGAAATGCTTAATGATATGTGTAATGTGAAATGCATGCATGGGAAGGAAGATAGCCATGGGAGAATTGTGTGGTAAAGGGAGATTGTGAACTAAAACATTTCTTGAAAAATCCCTGTAAAATTCACTCTTTGTATTAAATATAATGTACACACAATCACACACACTATCAGACACAAAATCACACATAAACACACATACATGGTTACAAAGACACAAACACACACACCTGCACACAATAATCACACACACACAATCACATGGACACACGCACATTGACACACTCACACCTACCTCAATGTCCTTCAGTGCCCCATTCTGAATCCCGACAGCCACAGTGTGGGTAGACCGGCTCTTCAAGTTCACAGTCGTGCTGAGGTCAGTCATCCCCCCACAACGGAAGGTCAGGTCCTGGCTGCCTGCATCCAGCCGCTGGTAGCCGGACGTCTGTACAACAGAATAATGGTCATCATGACACTTCATCATCATCTTGGGGTTAAAATTCACTTGTGCATGATGTGCTTTTTACTGGTCGCTATAACATTCTTGCACCACAGTACAGGTATGCCAACATATGTGTGGATGGTGTTCAGCACCAAGGACAGGTATGCTAACATGCCTGTGGATAGTGTTCAGCACCAAGGACAGGTGTGCCAACATGTGTGTGGATGGTGTTCAGCACCAAGGACAGGTGCACTAATATGTGTGTGTTTGTGTGTGGATGGTGTTCAGCACCAAGGACAGGTCATGTACACTCTTCCTCTATTTAAATTTTACAAAACAATGCTAAATGCATTCACACTGTTTTTCATGTTTATGAATGTGTGGGTGAATTTTAGCCCCATGAACAGGTTTTCTGGCATGCATGTGTATGTACAATGGCAGATACTCACCTCGGCAAACCCAAGGGTGAGGTTATAGTTGTTCTGCCCCTGTACACCCAAGTCACACGGGGAAACATTGATGATGCGAAGATCAGCCTTGTCAACAGGGGGTGCTACTATCTCTGCACTCTGAAACACACAGAAAGCCATTGATTAACATGTAGCCACCATCAAAAACTATTAGACAAAGTTATAAAATAGAATTTGAGTTTATGAAATGTTTGCTTGTGTTAAGTTCATTTCAAGGGAAGATTCTGGCGCAGAACCGTCTAAGAGGACTTGAAAAGATCTAACATAAGCTGGAAAGAGGCCAAGAAAGTGATCAAGATGGAAACAGAGGAGGACCTAAGGTAAGGAAAGGTAAGATCAGACCACTGTAGTCTTCCTTACCTCCAGTCTCAGCTCAATAAAACCAGCGATGACAAAAGCTGCAGCTGCTAGGAGCATCCCTGCTCCCATTCTCTGTAGAGGCCTGCAGAGAAAAGACAGACATAAATGTATCACTTTGGATTCTATGGTACCTGTTGTACATGATTCATCAAATAATAAAGAGGACCAAAAACATGCCTTCAAATTGGTATTCCTGCAAAATTGCATCGTAATATTCATATCTATAAAGATTATTTCTTTGGTCTTGTGAAAGATAAAGCTCTTATAAAAAGAGCAAAGAAACTAGGAAACTCACTTGACCAGAAGATTGCACTTGGCAAACAAAGGGTAGATAATGCCTTCAAATATGGGGATGAAGACCAGGATCATCAAGGCATTGGTGAACTGTGAAATATAGTTAAAGGACACTGCAATAAGGGGAGTGAAAACAATAGAAGATACAAGAAATATGTTTGTTAGCAAAGGTGTTACTTCTTACCACAAATTATGATGGTTAGAATTTTGACTGTTTAAGATTAAGAGAAAGTTCAAAATCATGAAATTAAAATCATATCATTTCTGTGGACAGTGTTCTATTATCATGTCATCTGAACATACTAAGATAGTTCTTTGAGTTCTTAATGTCCTTTCATTAAGCAATGGGAAAAACACTATCAGTGTTTTACACATGTACAATATAACCCCTTTGCCCTGGTGCTAACAACACTCAGATTCTTTTGTTCATACAAAAGCTTACAGTACCTGCATCTGGTCTGGTTTGAGATGCCCAAGTGGACCCTGAAAACAAAACAACAGATTTAAGTAAGAAGGAGGTAATTAAAAAACAACTTTACGATTAATTAGATAAAACTGGAGGAATGTGGCTGATTTGAAAATAGTTTTTAAGAAACGAGAAGAAAAACGTTGTCTACATCATGATGAGTACATTAACCAGAAAAATCTATCACCTTATAAAAGGCACATTGTACAGTTACTGTAATGACACCATGACTTCATACATTCCACAGTCAACTTAATGATATCCTTAAATTTCTCACCAGACTTCCGTTCATTCTCTCTGCTTGTAAGGTCCACCTGGATCCCTGGGTTAATGAATGGACAACTGTCAGTTGCATATCAAATTACATATTGTATACCGGTACATAAGATGACTAAGATAATACATAGAATGTATTTGTTACCATGGTGTAAACACAAGGGGTAAGCCATAAATAATCAACAAAGATGCTTTAGAACTGACACTTTGGCACTAGGTACCTTACATCTGCTTGGATAAAATGAACTATAGTATCCATTGCTTTATTAAACTACAAAACTGTTCACAGGTTCTTACCTGTTGGTCAAACAAAGCCCAGAACACAGGCAGTGGAAGGTACAACACAATGACATGGACCACCATCTTGATGTCTTCAACCAAGTCTCTCTGCAAAAAACAATGTGTGAACACATTTATCAAACCTTTCAGCTAGGAAGTAAAATTTAACCCGCAGGAAGTAAACAAGGCTGAGCTTCTGTGACACAAAGTTTTTAAAATTCCAGCAGAATCTGAGAGGCACATGACAACATCTCATGTATAGATGTGAATCTGATATAACAGCCAGTTTTGGACATATCAATTGACAATTTGATACAGTTTAGGTAGAAAGAAGGAACTTAGCACACTGTATTCCATACCTTGTACACTGTATTTGTTGACTAACACTTCCACAAACTTCTAACAGAAAACCATTGAAATTTATACATGGTGAATGTTGTTCAGCACCAAGGACAAACACTAACATTGTGATGAGAAAGGTTAATGTTGATTGTATGCAGATTTGTCCTAGCGAGTTACACTACCTCATAGTTATCTGATGCCCAGTCCAGCCAATGTTCTTTCTTCTCTCCACTTTTGCTGGTAATCCTATTTTTCAATGCACTCTGTAACATACAGGTTAGAAAAAAAATATAATCAAAAATATACAAAGTCATTAGCATAACGTTATGGATAACCCAAGTCAACTGATACTAGTTCCCAAAACAACATTACAAAAAAAGAACACAACATTTAAGGTAATGCAGTTATAAAACACTTCTGAAATACACAAATTTCTCTCTAGGACTTTAAGGGAACCCCCCCAATCTGTCAGGTAATCTTATATATGATGACTTACCCCTATTGTTCGGAAGACCAATCCAATGATGTTCCCAGTTGGTGGAATTCTTTTGTACATTTTTGTGCCAGCCACAAAAATCACTGTAATAACAAAGATATTCAACTAAATGAGCGGGCACTTGATATCATTGATATATTCTGACAGGGATCGAAATATACACCTGTAGTTTTTTTTTTAAATTCAAGATTGCATTTCATTTTGAAATGACATACAAAGTACAAAAATAAAATTTCTTTGCCTCAATTGTATTCTTCTCTTGAACTGTTCCAATTAGTTATAAGTTTTTTGTATCCAAACACTAATGAATGAATGAATGACTTTATTTCAGGAAAAAACCCATAGTACAGACAGGACCACATAGACACTAAACACACAACAATCTATATACATTTTTAAAATACGTGTTCCTGAATTGGCAGTCTGATCTCAAAAGACAGCATATAATGCTATTGTTGGTGGCATATATTCTATTGATGAAAGCATAACACAATTTCCTGCGTCTAGCATCGAATGTATCGGTCGAGAGGTGTACAAACATTGAACTGGCACTACAACCTCTTGGCAACTTAAGGAGAATACGAAAGCAATTATTGTATGCAACACGACACTTAGCTAGTACACTCGCATGAACAGAGTTCCATAACTGGACTCCAAACAACTGAGAACAGTAGGACATAAACAAAGTCTTTTTCACAACGGGCGAACAATGATAGAATTTACGATTTATACAATTGGTATGGCGATATAGGCGTCTAATTTCAGCTCGAACACAATCATTGTCACTTAACTTCGCATTTAAATGAATACCAAGATATACAAAAGAATCCACATATTTCAACTCAACATTATAAATTTTCACGGCGGGCAGAGGCTGCTGGAGTGGAAGGCCAGCGCTCGGAAAGAACATACAACAAGTTTTATTTGTATTAAACAAAATATCATTTACCTTACCAAAATGTTCACATATCCCAACCAGTTTCTGAAGGGATTTAACACTGGGGCAAATCAAACACAGATCATCGGCGTACAGCAGATGGTTTACAATAAAACCGCCGACGCGACAGCCAACTCTGGCATTTTTCAGTTTTAGACTAAGATCATCAATATAGATGTTAAATAGATGAGGCGACAAAAGGCTGCCTTGTCGTACCCCATTGGAGACGGAGAACCGGGTTGACAAAGTAGAACCCCATCTTACACACATGGTCTGATTCTCATACCAATAGACCAGAAATCTCACAAGGTATAACGGTACATTCCTTTCAAGAAGCTTTTTAAACAAGAGCCAATGGTTCACACGATCAAAGGCCTTGGAGGCGTCCATAAAACAAACGAATACGGGAGATCCCAGTCCCTTGTAATATTCAATAATTTCCTTCAGAGTAAAAACACACATATCAATACCATGCTTGGGTTTAAATCCAAACTGGTAGTCAGATGTCTGAAGGAAGGGTTTAAGGCGACTAAGTAACAGCGACTCCAAGACCTTGGAAAGTGCAGAGGTGATGGCAATCGGTCTATAGTTATCACTACTAGAGATATTACCTGATTTGTTCTTAATGACAGGCACAATGATGGTATCCAACAAAATATCAGGAATAAAATTGTGCACAATAACAGATGTCAATAACAATGAAAGATAAATACAAATTCTTGGGCCCGCATACTTCAAATGTTCATTACAAATACCATCAGAGCCAACAGCCTTCCCATTGGGCAATTCCTTAATGATGTTAACAAGTTCCAACACAGTAATTTGCATATCATAATCAAATTCACATGCACGTGACATAGCAGACATCACAGGTGGCTTGTGAGCCCGGTTATCAACTGAATTTAAGAGACACTCAAAATGCTTTCTCCAGTGATCAGCAATATTCACAGAACCTGAGCATCCATCGACTGTATTTGGTAAAACACTACAAGGAGAGTTAGCACTACGTACTTTTTTCCAAAATTCTCTACGGTTACCCACTGAGAAATTTTTAACAGTAGCATCCGCTCTAGCTCTGCTCTCTTGTTGTTTACATTGTCTTAGAGCGAGCTTAAATCTTGCCCTGGCTTTGGACATGAGGATAAAAAGGGACCCGACCGTGGTCGGCCCATTTCTCTCCAGAGGACATAAGCCTCCCGGGCAGCAGAATGTAGGTCTTTCACAATGTCATTCCAACCTGGCACCTGTTTGAAATTATTACAGCTGTGTTTTGATTTTAGTGATAAATCTGCCGAGTCTTTCATAGCAGAGATCAGCTGATGAGTAAACGAATCAAGAGCATTTCTGTGCAGAGGATCAACACAATTCGGGTCCCTGCAAACAAGGGCACATACAGGCAGATCAAGCTTAGAAAGTTGATCATTCAAGGTAAGACAATAATTATCTAGTTGCTCCTGACTAGCTTTACTCCAGTCAGTAATCCTGTGAGGAATGTCAGAATTATGTTGATTATGAAATACAGTGGGAAAGTTGACATTTAACGTAATACTTAAGGGGAAATGATCAGAAGTAACAAAGTCGTGTAGAACCTGAATATTGGTAATATTTTGGTGAGCTGTGTCACTAGCTAAGCAGTGGTCAAGCCAAGATGTGGAATAGTGCATATCACTAAGGTAAGTGTAAGTATCATTGGGAAGGTACTCCATATCAGATATATGCAACCCTGTTTCCTCACAAAATTCCTGAATCAGAGTGCCATACCTATTGGTAGTAGAAGCATTAAAATCACCAATTATCACAGAGGCATAAGAATCAGCGTCATTGACCAGAGCTTCAATTTTACTTAATTTCTCAAGAAATATGTCCATATTAGCCGGAGTATCATATGGCATGTACACGCACACGACGAGCAGTTGGCTGTCGCCAGAGTCCACTTTAATGGCAATTATGCTGTCGTCATCAAAATCCACAGGAAACACAACAGAAGATAAGCTTTTCCTCCATAATATACCCACCCCCCCATATGGGCGCCCTTGTAGCACCCCTGATTCAAGATCAATCGGAGACTTAGCACAGGCAATAAAGTCATTACTTATGCTGCTCAAATAAGAGAGGTCATTAGGAAGGAGCCAGTGCTCTTGTAACATAACAATATCGTGGGACTTACAAAGTTCCTTAATGGATTCAAGAGAGTTCTTGGCAGATCGACAGTTGTAAGACACAATCCGTAGATTCTGGGCTAAGTCCATAGTTACGATGATGGGGTGCGAAGGTTACCATGAAACCGGCGAACCAAGGTACCACAGGGCCAAAACGACGGTGACAGGACTTCCGCCAGAATAGAACTGTCCACTGCAATCCGGAACGAGGAGTATGAGTCATACTTAGTCTGAAGTCTGCCACATGGAATCGCGCACTTCCTTGACAGGTTGTCGTTCAGGTAACGTTCCACGTCCTTAGGCTGAGTGTTCGGATCAAGCCTAGTAACGAATATCTCGGCAGGTCTTACCTTAACCGCAGTCAGTGTAGTAGAGTTAGCAGTTCCAACCACTGCCCTGGGACGAGACCTTTTCCTTTCGACCAGTCGAAACCCGTCCGAGCTAGAGTCTCTCGTGTCACTAGAGTCTCTAGAAGCACCTGTGGTGGATCGTCGCCTGGAACGAGTGGACACTGGGTTGGGCGTCATCTCTGCAACTGCCCGCTTGGGCGCTGTGTCTCCAGACAGGGATTTGGGAGCGGTGGCCATCCCGTCGGCGTGCCCCTGGACTTGAGTGGAAACATCGTCTGGGGGGGCCTTCCCAGTTAAAGAACGTGCACTGGACGAGGGACGTGTGACCGACACAACATCGGCGAAGGTGACCGAATAATTGTCAGGTAACGGCACTGACACTGTTGGTGGAGTTGAGTTTACCCTATTTCTCAAGTCCACAATCTCCTTTCTTAGGGACATAAGCTCTGTTTGCACTTTGACCGAATCAATGGAGCAGTCTCTAATCAGCTTCATCTCTTGCCGTACGATCTGGAGCTCTTGCAAACAGGCTGAAATGTCGACATGTTCAAAATTCACTGCAGGAAGGTGGAGAGTTGCGGACACAAAGGTAGGTAATGACGGAGGAGCAGTCGAATGAAGCACTCGCAAAATGTCCGCCATATTGGCTGTCGACTTGTTGACTCCTTGTCGCTTCCTGTACCGTTCATCAGGGTTACATGTGTCGAATACAAGTCTCTTGGCCACCTCTATTTCCTCTTCCGTATAAGTCTCGATGCACAACTTCGAAACTATATCGGTCGGAAGAGTGTCCATCTTGTTGACAGTAAAGCACAACAAATCATTGATGAAAACATCGTTTGGCTTACTTTGAGCAGGAAAGTCACTGAAGCTGTGAGGAAAACGCTTCTTCACACAACGTGAGCAGAGGATTAAGTCACCTTGACAGGTCTGCGCTTCTGGGGCGCGGCAGTCTTCACAGTTGGGCATGGTGGGGAAGGGGGAGGGGGGGCAGACGAGTCAGAGAGAGCTGCGCCAAGTGAGCTCACCCCCACCGAACAGGCTCCAGCATTCACCCAAACAGATTAAAACGTCACAGTGTACAGTCCACAGAACATGCTCTCACGCCGGGGTTAGATCCAGCTAGAGTAAGACACTAAATACAGCCCTTTATAACGCGGATTAGGGAGCTGCATTAAACCAACGTCGCCATCTTGGGCGCCATCTTCATTATTTCCAATAACTATCTAGAATGAAAATAGCATTAAACTTACAAACTGCTGCCAACATAAGCACTGCTGGGACTCCAAAGGCTAAAGCATAGCAGTCTCCTCCATAACACTGTACATCACCTGGTGTAGTGAGGAATAGAACAGACATCCAGAATGTTACATCAGATCTAGCTATGGAATCTTAATACACACTTCAAACTCAACTACTGGAAAACTTACGTGCACTTTAAGTGACAGTTACTCAAGCAACTGAATAGATTTTAAAAAAGGTGAGACAATTCAACACAGTCACCGACAAATGCTAGTTCGATGTTGCCTAAAATGTCTGTCAATTTTCAAAATCTAGCCAGTTGCTTGTCATGAGTAACTGTTACTTTGGCAAAAAAAGTTGTTCTTAAAAAATGTTCTAAGATGTTCTATTATCTGCATTTAAACTTGCTACACACATGTTTACACCAACTACATGTATAACATACTTACTGCGTAAGATTGGAGTCAGGAAGAGGGACAGTAGGCTGCCAGCATTGATGGAGAAATAGAACATGGAGAAGTAGAGTTGTAGCATTCTCTCCTGTAGGACGAAACATCACATACATTGTAATTGTCATAAACAAGACTTGTCAACAATTTGTTGTGTGTAGCAGTAATTAAATAAATGCACATACACCTTACCTAACATGATACATTCCAAAATAAAAAGGAATAAAAAATTAAGAAACTGTTAGTGGCTCAATTTTGTTTTTAAATGTATAAAAACTAGGAAACATACCTGGTCGGCAGAAAACTGGTCTCCCCCGAAAGCGGACACACATGGTTTGATCCCACCAGTACCAAAACCTATCACTAACAGACCTATCAAGGGTCCAGCTCTGAAAACAACAGAACAAGTCAGCTGTAACAACAGTGACCACAACTATACAGTTAAAACTATCATTACATTGAAAGTAAATCTGTGAAGTACATGTACATGTATCATCACATCTTTTAAAACCTGTCGTTCAGAGGCATATTGAAATATTAGAGTATACTAAATGAAGTAGCAATAGTTCAAACTGAAAATGAATGACAACTTTAAAACATAAAGCCTTTACAAATGTAGGTGACCACTGATTGTTCACGTACAAGTACTGTAATTCACTTTGACTTCACGGTAGCAAAATTTCACTGTCTGAGGAAGAAATAGACATGTTCATGGAACTTAATCTTTGCAGTAATGGAAATGGTTTCATTATGATAATGACGTAAGTTCAGGGTACAGATGAGACCTTTAAACACAATAGTACCATGCTAAAATCAGGAATTACAGTAACACAAATCTTTTGTGATATGATTGAGTACAGACCGTTCTGGTGCGCCCAGTGGAGGCAGCGCTGTGATCGCCATGATGATGTTTCCTGCTGCGTACAACAACGACACGTACAGAATGGTCCTGTTCAGAAATACAACGGATTAGGTCATTGACAAGAAATCGTACATCAAAACAATACCTGGTCCAATTCATGAAACAAGTAACATTAATTAGCATACAGATGTAAAATAAAATCTAAACTATCTGTACCTGTTTTTGAACACTGGTCCCAGACATAGAATGTTTAGATTTTATTGTCACTTGATACTGTATTGTTGAATGTCTGAAGTCTTACTTGTATCTGCCAAGCCAGCTGTCAGCTAACATGGCCCCCAGGAGTGGTGAGAAGTAACACAGCATGACAAAGGCATGATACAGGCCTGTACCGACATCTTCATTGAAGCCAAGGAACTTAGTCAGGTACAGGATCAGTACAGCTGGTAAGAAAAATAATACAAAATATTAAAACATGTTTTTAGTCATATGTCCATACTCACAGTATATTTAGAATATGAAATAACTGAAGTAAGATAATATTATTAACCATAGGTTATTTTAGTTTTTACTTTAAAGCCTATTATTTACCTCTCATGCCATAGTATGAAAACCTTTCACAGAACTCATTTCCTACGATGAAGTAGACACAGCCAGGAAACTGCCCATTTCTGGTGAAGAAGTTCTGAAAAAAGTACATGTAAAATGTTTTAGAGCAGCAGTACTAGTGGCAACAACACAAAATTCAAAAGGCTAGAGGTCTGTCTGGTGGGTGTAGAAACTTTCAGTTTCAGCAGAATTTCACCAAGGTGTTGTTTGGAGAAAATGTACTACGTGCTCCTGTGACCCTTCATTACCTTACAAGATGATGTTGAACTTGAAGTCATGGTTGTCTTGGGTGCCTTACTGTGCAAGGTTTGTCTAAAGATTGGACAGGTGGTGAACAAAATGCAAGTTCTTCCACTTTCTCCTAGGTGGGGGGGCAAAGATGGCGGGTTCCTTATGTACTTAGCACTGGGGCTGGCTACCTTTTGAAATATTCTGAAGAGCGCTTATAAAACTGTCTCCTTGATGACAACTGCCACACCCACCCACAAATAAACTGTCAGCATCCTATAGCTGTTCACTAAAAAGTCTATCAAGTGCCTATAAGAGAGCCAAACAAGACAATAATTTATGGTTTTACGAGAACTTATTTGTGTACTCCAAGATACAGCAAAAGGTTCTGAGCTTTAATCAGCAGCGATTGAGTTAGAAATGTTAGCTACATATGCAACTGACATATGGAGTGGAGGGACTGAATACAATTCCCCAAAAAGGGAATTCTAAACCCAAAAGTATAAAGAGAAACCAACAAGGTAAGTGGATAGTTTTAACTTTCTTGCTAAGGAAATTAGAAGTGGTAACTGGTTGACTCCAGTCCACTTTGCTTCTAGTGGGAGGGCTTTGGATCAAACAAAGAGGCCCTGGGCAAGGTGAGACTTCCTTGAAAGTTCAGAGCCTTCACCATTTGTTGCAGTATATTGTTAGTAGTCAGCTGGTATCTGAAATATCTCTGTAGATATTTTGATACTGTTGTTTTATAGCTTTTCACTGCATTCCGAAAGATTTTAAAGAAGCTACACTGGCTTATAGTTTTTCTGTTGTTATTTTTATCAGGGAAGTTCTGATCTGAGGCGTAATCAAAAAGCAAAGCATTGAAAGAAAGATACGAACCTTAATACCACTCCCCCCAGCTTCCTTTGGGGGAGGGTCAGAACTTTTCAACAGTGATGATTCTGAAAGTAGAGATATAAGGTTATAATTTGTAATGTTTAGCTATGTACCTGTACAAAGTCATGCATCTTGATAGTGAAGGGCTCGAAACACTTTCGTGTTTTTGCAATATGTGATTCTTCAACAGAATTTGAAGCTGTAGACTGTCTAGCAAGACGACAAAAGCCCAAGAGATTCTTTAATGTATTATGTTACATGTATAATGATATCAAAGAGAGACATGAGATAGTATAATGATATCAAAGCAACCCTCCATAATTGACAATTGCCTGTACTCTGCAATCTCAAATTCAATTTTTTTTCTGCAAATCGCAGGTGGGTATTTTGAGACATCAGGGCTCGAAATTTATTTTTGGTAATAGGTGCACTGGAGCACCCAACCTAAAAAATTGGGTGCACAAAATTCCTGGGTGCACCATATGAGATAAAATTAATAGAATGTCAGCAAAAACTAATTTTGTTTCATTTCCAAAGAAAAGTACTGATTTTGATTTTATTCTTTTTCTGACACTTGAGTGTTAAGAATATGCTGTGTACTACTACACATTTGACATCTTTACATACCTAAACCTACGAAAATGTTTGGGTGCACTGGTGCACCCACAGAAAAAAATTGGGTGCACAGCTCCAAATTTGGGTGCACTAAGGTGCACATGCACCCAGTATTTCGAGCCCTGGACATGTATGACAAAAACATCATGAGCAATTGCTAACAACAAAATAAACATAAATATTACACGACTCACCAGGTGTTGCATGTTTGCTGTTGTTGGGCTTTTTCCAACCGTCACCGTTACTGCCTTCACTGCTGTCACTGACTCCTTTCTCTTCATTTGAAGTCATGCTGTCAAACAACAAAGGACATGTAATATGTCAGCAGTCACGGGAAATAGTGAATACACGTCGATGAAGGTTAGACATCCAGGTAATACGATACTCAAGCAACTGGATATGATTTTGGAAACGGTCAGACATTTCAGCTAGTATCCACTAGCTTTCGTCACTGAGAGACCAGAAGAGAAATGCAGGTTTATACATGTAAGCACAAACTACTGATTGATATGCAAAAAAAAGTGAAGACAATTTTTGGAAGTCGAAAAGGGAACAAAAGTCAGACAAGACATTAGACATTATCTTACTACTGTACACAAATATAACATAATCTGCAATTGGACAAGCCAACATAACGCATAATCAGTGGGTGTAGCAATCAACGTAATGCATTTCTGAATTTACTGCATTGCATCATGAGCACCACGAATTTTGTGTGATTTCCATGCTCACCCCATGCAACGATACACCAACATTTTTTTAAACCATGCATCTGCTTGGAGATCAATCATTAGATGCATTTCATCATCATTTATTGATTTATGACACTGTGAAAAGTCAAAACTATAACGTTACATAGAACATAGTACAGTAACTTGAAATTGTTTGTAATCACAAATGAAACTGAAATATTGTGTCCAGACGTTATCATTGTCATGAAGTTTTTAAGATAAGTATTTGGTTGCTACATGCACCTGTCCAGAGCTTATGCTATAGTCATCTGGCACCATAATAACAAACATGATGGTAACTCTGGAGATTCATGCTAATCCACAACAACAGCAACTCATGTCCATATGGAAACATTTTGAGACAACACTGCAAACCTTACTGCCGATATATTTTATTGGGAAATCTTAGAATAATGTTATCATAACCTGGGAAACACCAGATCTGTGTTTCTATTGCCCAAAGAATCGAGGGAGAGAAAATTATAGATCCTTAGGATCCTATGCACCAAGCATGAGTACATGATCTGATCGCAGATTAGACTATATATGGAGATTTTTTGTGGGTTTAATACTCCATACTAACCTTCCCAAGAGTGTTTCCTTGCCCCAGATGAAGTCAGGTTACTTGTTGTCTTCCAGAAAGTCTTGCGGGGACTGGAAGAAGACGTGTTCACCGGTTCAACAGGTTGGACCGGAACAGAGTGTGTTCAGCTGTTGTCGAGTCCCTGCATAACAAGTCTCACGTCTATTCTAATCACGTGCCGGGAGACTTTGAACTCCCATAGCTCCGTGCAGACAAGTTTATAACGAGGTTTAGGTGCGTTAGCCTTTGTACTTGCACATCTTGTGACTTCTGACGTTAGGACAAACAGTCCTCAGGGGGGCAGCGACCTGAAACTTTGTAACCCGGAAGTAAAACTGGGGGATCTGGTATGGGACCTGTCACGGGGCGTGGCAGACCCAACTCCCACCGGTGGAATGTACTAGTACCTTAGGGGTAGTCTCTGTAGCATTAGTACAAAAGCAGTAGAGATATCGGTCTAAAAGTAACTCCAATAAATTGTTCAACATTTTTTGCCAATCTCTGCTACTAGTATTCCTTTACTTTAGTAAATAGTCTAACGTTACATCTGGTGTATTCGTTTTAAACAAATATTATATGTTGCCGTAAGACATAAATGTTGCCGTAAGACTTACATTGTTATTATTGTTGAATACGGGTACCCTGGAGCACACTCTGTACAGCAAAAATACAAAAATAATCGAGACTACATTGTATACTATGCGGGATGAGTTATCGTTTGTAACGTTTACTTATACTTAAACTTGTAGCATGCACCGACCGATGATATTGAGTCTATGGACAGCTAGGTAAACTTTTAATTTTGCCAGGGCATGAAAAGTCCACCGGCCGCCAGAATTTTTGTTTAACCGATATTTGAATGTAATAAAACACACAAAAATCATCTCTGGGTACTCGTCCCATATGACGCAAAAAGTTCCGAATGACGGGAGCGGCAAATGCAGTAGTAATACGATACAGTAACTCAAGAGAGACCTCTTGCGGGTATGCGTCGTCACAACATGGGTCTTTCAAAACTATCCTACTTTTGGTATCTTATCAGGGACTATCCCTCCAGGATTAATACGCATCGGTACGTATGCATTTACTTTATTTACTAGATGGCAACCTTCACATCGCTTTTAGCATTGCGTGCATATTTTGCTGTTTTGACATTTTTATCTAAGACATAATACAACGCAACCATTAAAGTTTCGTTGGGCTGCATACAATTGAAGGTAAATGGGTAACAAAGGTCTCAAGCGTAAGAAAAGTATACACGTTTTGAAACAAACCTTTCCCTTTAGTCGACTTGGCGCTCAGGCAGACCAATCCGCGTAAGTAGTGTTTTTCAGGTCAACAAGGCGAGGAAAATAGGACCCAAATCTACGGAGGTGTGCCAGAATCTCTGCGTATTACTGTTTGCTTAGTGTATACCAGTCGTAAATACTAGTCCACAGTGCTGAACAAATAGGCCAATCACAACCTCAAGGTTTTGGCGGGTATCTACCTTTACCCTTGATCACTCTTGGCCAATTCCTGCCATCAATTTTACCCTTAGCTTATCAAGAGCACAAGAGTCTTGTGGAAACTACATGTATCTTTATTTATGAGACTTTTTATTAAAGGTCATCGGTTCTTTGTGCACTGGCTAAAAATACAAATATCCTCCTGCGGTCGTGTCGTAACGTTACCGGTCTGTTCGCGTGTGGATGCGATCAACAGACCATGGCCCAGCAAGGTCACAGCGAGAATTTTAATCAACAGACCTCGAGCTCGTTTCCCTCCAACATCATTCAAACCAGTCGAATCCTGAATACGTGGAATTTACTCTGTTTATAACAAGGGTGACTTTTGGCATCTGGAACAGTTTCCTGTACATTTTACGCACACATGTGAGCTGTATGGTGTGATTGTGACTATTGCCTGGCGGTATAGCAATATCCAAGCAGAGGTGTGGGTTTTGGGTTATTTTTTTCGTGTCTTTAGGCTTTTTATCGGGGTTTCTTTTTTGCATGGGATTTTTTTTTCATTCCAGTGCAAAGAAGAAACCCTGATAAAAAAAAGCCTAAAAACACGCAAAAAAATAACCCCAAATCCAAACTTCTTGTTGGGTTAGGGAAAAAAATCCCAGTGCAAAAAAGAAACCCCGATTAAAAAAAGCCTAAGAACACGCCAAAAGATCCCAAAACCCAAACCTCTACTTGGCTACTTGGAGAGTAGGTACAGAGCAATATGCGCATTGGGTTAATTCTTTATGATTGATAAAAACTTCCAGTCTCTACGAAGTAAGTGAAGAAAATCATCGACATGCAGAGGACCCTGGTGGTCTGGCCACATGACCACATCTTACTTTACCTTGACACCTGACATGAAGTAACCATGCATATGAGATATACTAGTATACATGTGAAATTTCAACTTCCTACAATAACGAGGAGTGACCTCGGGGAAGTCTTTATTGCAGTACCTAAGTTACGACAAGTATACACAGGAAGCAGTTGAGACGTTATCTTTCTAGCCAGCTGACAGTTTTCGTCATGTTCTCATTATTATTGCCAGCCTAGTGTCCCACCTAAATGTTGTTCTAACCTTGCGCTATCAAACAGGCTTATCAGTGAAAGGTTTCCTCTCACTAGGCTGGCCAGCCAGCCGTTCCAAGTACTGCTGACACTTCAAGGCAGCTGGGGCAGTTTTGTGTTGAGCGTATTTTGTTGGCTGGGCCAGACACACTCATTTTGCAAAATGGTAAAACCCGCAAATTACGTATACCGCATACACTTTCATTAATCTCCAAGCAGATCGTACGGTGGCAAAGTTGTGTATATATATATATATATATATATATATATCCGTCGGCCAGAGGATCTAGGAGTGTCCATTAACCACTGAAGGTGGCCAATGGATACTGTATGGCTAATGGATACTGCCTGGCCAATTTGATACTGTCGTTTGCGGCCACCAAACATCTGCTTGGAGATTATACAATCGATTATAAAATCTAGCATTACACCGTGAGCATTAGACGATCACACCCCGCGCTACACAGGTTTGTCGTTTCTAATATTCATGATCACTGGCATAGTTGGTCGAAAGGTTCTGATAAATATCAGTCTTCACACATATCAATCTACGTGTGATGTGACCTGTCACATCCTGCCCAGTGTTCGGATGAAGCTACCAGATCTATGCCAGATCTATGTTCAGATCTATGCCAAGGACGAGACCTTTCCAAAAAGGAGTGCAATATTCTTATCGGACGGTGTAATCATCGGAGATACATGTAAAATCGGAGGCAGAATGAGAACTGTTATCAACAACAGAGTTGACACAATTTGATAATGGCTGCTCATTTTCCGACACCGTTTGCCATCATAGCCTGTGTTCCATGACTTAAACACATGGTTTGTTTTGATGAACTTGACCCTCAAGTGTACCCCGTACTTGTTGTTTCCAAGCCTGTTCCTTTGAATGTGACGGGCATTAATTACCAAGTCACTGCCCTCGGATCCAGACGTGTTCAGCAGCCAACATCCAGTCTGAATACTGCCGTTGTTCGCGGCTTCATACCTCACTAGTCCCTCGTATCAACAGAGACCGGACCAGGTCACTGTGGAACTAAGTTTCCCCACCAAACCGGAAACCTTCACTACCCGTGTCTTTCCCTAAGTACGCCCCACTGTGACAAAAGGTTCAGTTTAGCTCATTTTCTCCACAAATCTCCACTACCGACCGTGAGTCTGCAACTTTGATTTCCTTGTGACATTAGCCCTCATGTCACGATCCCAAGTAACCGCGGTGACTCGGACGTTGAGGGCACGGATTCAAAGAAAAATGCCAGTCTCATTTACTGAGTCCACTGAATCTTGCACCTCAGGTAGACTTGTGGCTGACGTACGAATTTGCTTCGCACACTGAACCCACGCGTTTGCAAATAACGGCTATACTATAGATAACTTTGGGTTGAAAATAAAGGTTCAATTTCCGATAGTCTAGTGGCGTCCCGACCTCTCCATCAATGCACCAGTAGATGCAGTCTGACTACCAAACCGACATTTGTGACATTCCAGTATAAGGACAGAAGAGGACGTTGCATCAGTGATAGATTAGACAGTTCCTAATGAGAAGGTTGTGTAATCAGGCAGAAACGTGGCTTGTCATTCCAGGATCGGTAACCTCGGAGGCACAGTGTGGGGGCTGGGAGGAATGGTCCTTATTGTTCCTGTCTTCGCTAATCTCACCAGCGGAAGGAAAGAAAGACCAACTGTATACAATCTAAATTTCAGCTAACAACCCCGGCACTCGATGTAGCCTAGTTTCTGCTTTGATCGGTAACAAGAAACATAGTTTTATAATATATGTATTGCAATCCTGGTCTTTTCTCAGCCCTTGTGTCAGAGATCAGGCGACAATCCTCTGTAGTAGTAACGTTACAGGGAAACCTGTCTTGCTTGGATGCTCGTTGTAATTGGCGGTAATCTCAAACGACTTGTCTCATAAGTCTGGCGGAAATCTGACGGCAACACATGCATGATTCATGAATACCTACAGGTTATTCTTAGGACGGGACTGGGCATGTGCGGGAAACTGAGCAGGGGCCTTGGGCTTCTTGCGGTTTCTTCAATCGCGAAGTGGCGAGTTACAAATGCGGTCAGAAGGTAACTTTATATAGTCAAGCAGTTAGACAGGCACCGGGTCTTAAAACCAATAGGGGGACCGCCTTACCTGATCTGATTGAACTTGTGACGAGACTCGTGGCACTGTGTGGAATCGCGTTAGCGAGGTTACTCCCACGCAAGAGGAGACTGCTTCTACCGGAGAGACAGACAAACCGGATACGCTGAAACTTCAGGTAAGCACAAATAGTCGTATGAAGTCTTTTACTGAGTTGTAAGATACAGAATTGTTTGTGAGTGAACAGATATATATCTAAATATGTCTCCTTCCGTGGACATACAAGTTCAAAAGACTGACATCTCTTTAAAGTTTCTTCTCGACTGTCTACCTATGGCTGAAGTCAGTGGTGATGAATCAATGGTGACGTTGAAATGTCAGGTACGATAGTCTTTAGTATTGGATCTCTTTAACATGAGCAGACCCGTGAACCTACTGACCTTCCCTTCAATCATGTGTCAAACGGATGCACCTTTTTAGATTTGCGGGTCGGGAAGAGTAACAGTACCCTTGAACTGGGGTGGATTGACTGAAAAAGTCACGTAGGATCACTGAGTTCATGTGGCGTTGTCAGACCACACACTTCTAGATCGCCACCTAGAAGGATAAGATGGACGGGCGCTGTATAGAAGGTTCATCCATAGTTGTTGCTTCGTACGTTTCAGGACAGTACCCAGATACTTAAACTTCCTTTAGCCCCCGAGTACACAACATTCCAATTAAATTAAGGACCCCCTCCTTAACAAGATGCATCTGGGCTATGTCGGAGTTTCGTGATTAGAAAGTCCAATGAAATACTGTCCCCGATCGCCCCTGGCAGACAAAAAAACGATTTAAATCAACTACTGAACTATGCCTTCTAACAGCATCAGTTATCTCTGTGCAACAGAACACATGTTGCCAATTTGTTTTGGCCATACAGTCAAATTCGCGTTCAAATTCCTCGGGTACAGTGGCAAATTTGAGAGACAGTGGACAAGTCGAAACTGCTTACTCCGCAAAACGGACAACAGAGTCCAGACTAGTTAGAGCACAGGTGGATTATGTTCTTATGTTGTGTTTCCTATTAGAACCAAAGAAAACATTTAGAGAATCAGTCGGTGCCTTTTGTCTGATTGATATTCCTTCTCGATAAAAATAATTAGTACAATAAGCGAGTCTTCTGTGTTTTCTCAAACTTTGGTGTTGATATATTAAGAGAAGAAGCACCTGTCGACATTTGGATCCGCCCCAAAACTTAGTTTGTGTTTTCTGCGCCAAATCCATCGTTTACTGACCTTGGTCCATCCGTCTTGTGTACGAAAAGGAAGGGCCCAAGGAAGTTTGGACGTGTCACAAGGAAGTCTTTACATGTCTGAAGGAAATCTTGACGTACAACAGCCAAACCTGCAAGAACCGATATCGCCAGATCAGGCGTACCACAAATACCAGTTCCGGTTTCTTATTCACTTCAAAGAATTTGGAACTCCTAAATCTCTGTATTCAGTGGACTAAATCGGCGTTTTTCCTTGAGAAAGGCCACGTTTTCGATGGGCATTGCGTGGTGGGCCACGGGAAAGGCCTGAGTCTGGCACTTCCACATGGGATAGAACGGAAGGAAACTGTCTGCGATAGATTGCAGCTTAAGATAACGACTTTCCCCCAACTTTAGAGGGTACATTTTCATAATTGCGACCTTGTGTGGTATTTCAAAATGCGTGAAATTGCACCTTAAGATTTCATTCATCTGCTATGTTTATGAGTTGTCAAGCTCAATATCAAAGTAAGCGCCAGTCTCAGGGTACGTTTTCATATTGCACAGCAGCAATCCATAACGAAAACCAGCCATTCCCCACAGTGGTTTATCTGGTTGAAATATTTTCCTCGTATCCGTGAGTTCTAATAGCCCGACGGCGCAGCGCACACGTGTTGCACATTAAACTTGCACCGGCGATCTTGTCACTTGGAGAGCTTTTCTGGCGGTTGGGAGAGGGCAGGGATCAGACTGTGGCGTTTCAAATTCTGGGAGGCCTGCACACGTGTTATACTAAGGTTAGACAATCGCAATCTAGTTCTGCAAGGAGTGTGAACTGATGTCAGCGTGCATGTAACGTTATATGCTCATGCAGACCTAGATACATTCGCCATATGGTTATTTTCCTGTACCCACTACAGAGCACCTCAATCACTTCTTTGTTTCCTTTTGCTAACCCTTCCTCTGTTTAAACAATTCCAAAGTCAAACTTTCATGCCCTCTAGTTCATACTGAAAGATATATACGGTAGGGAAACCACAAAATAGAGGAGGATGTACCGATTAGAATTTGCTGAAAGTTGGCTACGGTTACAGAATTAAGGAAAAAGAAAAGGTTAAAGAAAATGTTAGGTTAAGAAAAGCTGTCTTTAACAAGTTAGGTTGTAACGTTTAACTATAGAAACCTTGGTGTTGGAGGAAGTTTTTTCTGTCCAACCCTCTGTATACGTAGTAAAGAGTATGTAAACTTTCCCAATAAACGTACAAAGCACGTTGTCGCGAAGATAATCTTTGTTTTAGCCTTTCGGGCATTAAAATGTCTGGCATAGCTGGGGGTTTACTTTTCCTTGACGTTTGATTCGTGAAGAGGAAGTTTCAGCTGATAACGATATAAAGACGACATCAGGATGTTGATCCAGCTGCTCCAGAGTTATACCTCATCACCTACATCTTTCCTGCATGACCGCCTAGACCTTACATGAAGTCATATCTAGTGCTATGAACCATATTGTTGTCGACAGTGGCCAGCAATCTATTTACACTGATATAATTAAAAGACGCAATTGATATGTTGAACGGTTTCAAGACGAAGTTACGCTAACTGATTATGCAATGGCGATACTCTTTGCTTTTTATTTACTCATATTTCAAAATAGGAAGTGGTTGAAAGATTTTCTTATTGACAGATGTACTGATGACAGACACCCAATTGACAAAGATTTCAATTGTGCCTTTATAGATTCATCATGAAGTCGAAAGGACACCCAGCCGGTTTATGGCTGCTGTACGTCTACGGGATCCTGTTACTGCTGCCCTGTGCCAACAGCGCAACTTTGCCTTGTCTCCAGGCCTGTCAGTGTTACCAGCATGAGGTTTACGGCAAAACCATGAACTGTGCACGGAAAGGCATGCACATGCCGCCACCCAGCATCCCCAACCCCACCAGAAAGCTCGTTCTGCAGTACAATTCCATCCACATGGTGAACCACACTCTGAACGGACCAGGATACAGCCTGCTCTACTACCTCGACTTGAGTGGGAATCAAATGGTAGACTTAGACCGGGACGCTTTTGCCAACACCACAGAACTCATGGACCTGGACTTACACTTCAACAGACTCCGCTTCCTCCACAAGTCCATCTTCCGCCCCATGAAAAAACTGCGTTGGCTCCACCTGTACGGGAACGCCCTGACGTTTCTAGAACCGGATTTATTCGCAGGACTCACCAAACTGGACGGGATCTACTTGGGATGGAATAAGATCAGATCACTGCCGATGGGAATCTTCAAAAACCTGCCTTCTCTCCAGTATCTGTACCTACATGATAATCAGATAAAATATTTGAATCTCGGACTGTTTGAAGACTTGATTCAGCTGTACGATTTAAATCTTGGCGGGAACCACCTGTCCTCGCTTCCCCTGGGGATTTTCAAGCCACTGCGGAACCTCATGCGGCTTTTCCTGTACCAGAACAGGTAAGATGGATGTTACGTTGTCCGTTTTCCAGGCTAGGGAAAAACAGCACGTTTGTGATCTAATCAACATAACGGTAGTAATTGGTATAACGTGTTTTACGTTGCTTTTAACCATGCTCATGCCAAAATAAACGTTGCTTTAAAAGAAATGCAATCCAGCGAGTCTGTCTAGAAACCTAAACCAGATTGTTTTTATCAAGACAACGTGTCAACATTACCGTCGCAAGTACTGCAGCGTTGACTTCTGCCATTTCTCAATCTTTACCCAATTTTGTGTGATTGATTCAACACTGAGTAGAAGCATGCTGGCCCATTACAGAATGTCTGTGTTTGGTATTTGATCCGCTCCCACTCATTAGCCTGGATACCAGTCCAGCTCCTCGGCTCCAGGGCCAACATACCCCAAATAAAATCTTGCTACAACCCAGCGTCAGAGCATGAGATAAGAAGTGACATTTCTTTGGGGGCATCTTTGCCCGAGAGCCGAGGAGCCAGACCTTCTATATACCCAGGAGTAAGACGTATGTAGACCAAGGAAACAGTCTGGCATCCAGGCTGCCCACTCATCAATTTTCTGCAAAAGAACATGGATCCTATAGGCCTAGCACGGCCTATCATGCAATCGCAGTATTGTTTTCAGCAACTATACACCTCTAATTGAGGCCCACTTGCTGTGACTGTACCAACTTTAAACACGTAACGTTTATACTCTATCTAACACTCTTCACCCAGGTTTTACCGCCTTGAGGAGGGTGTGTTTACGGGACTGGACCGGGTGGAGCTGCTGTGGTTCCACGGGAACAAACTCGCCATGTTGCCCCGGAAGGTGTTCAGTGATCTGCCCAAACTCCAGGTCATCGAGCTGGATGCAAACCTACTGGAGATGTTCTATGGAGACGCCTTAAGGCAAAACAAGGTGAGATTCCCTGCAATCAAGTACTTAGCCACAGCTAGAAGTCATTTTCAACAGGTGCACACTTTCGTGAGAAAGTTGGTCATGCTAGGGTCAGTCTAACGACCATGCAAAAAATTGTCACAATGACCAGGTTGGTCACTATAGTAAAAGATTAACAATGAATTGTCATTGAAAAATCTTGAAAATGTACTTCTTGTATCCATATTTTTCATGTTAAACAGTCAAACCTGTCTATACTCTATAGTCATTGCCTATGTGATGTCTATAGTCACCAGTTTGGGGGCAAAAAGGAAATAGTCACAGCTTACAGGTGGTCACTACATATAGACAGGATCCTATGGAAAAAAACATGGCCACAAGGGCCAGGTGGTCCTCATATTGAGGTGGTCACTAGTACAGTTTTGACCTCATTTTCATATTGTATCAACAATGTATTGACATTGTTAAGATCAGCTATTAATCTAAAAGATGAGATAGTAACGTCAATGTTTTTCATGTCCCTACACAACAGGAACTGGTCACCCTCAGTATGCAGAGTAACAAAATTACAACAGTCAAACCAGAGCTCATTTCTGGACTACACAAACTTCGCCATCTCTACCTGCAGCAGAACGTCATCAAAAGCATCAATGCTACAACTTTTCAGGTACAGTATCATACATGCCCTCACTCTTAGTTAAAACGTTAGATACATCATAAATTCTTATACACATCATTAATTCTAAGTCAAAGCTTACAATGTTTTCTAAATTTCCAGTACCAGTATCTTTAAAAGAATTAAAGTGACTGATATTTGGAGCTTGCAACCCAGTCCAAGTCCATTACTGACAGTAGTTGATAGAAGTATATGGCTTTGTTTAACTAAAGCTATATCTGTACCCCTTGTTCTCCCTTTTACCTTGAACTGAAGTTGTTTACCAGTGTTTGACTGCATGATGAATGAGTGAGGTTAATGAGAAGGTTCACAGGAATATTTATGCCCCATCTACAGGGACTGGCACAGCTGGAAATCCTCCTGCTGCAGAAAAACAACCTCTATGAACTGCCCAACAACGCATTCCACGAGCTTCATCAACTGTCTCATCTAGACCTGAGCGACAACTACATCCGCGCCGTCCAAGAGGGGGCATTTAACGGGCTACGGTCACTCACTCAACTGTCACTGCAGGGAAACAAGCTGCGTCAGATCCCAGAAGCAGCATTTTATGGATTAGAAAGCCTCAGTCACCTAGTCCTAGCCAGTAATGTCTTAGAAAAGCTGCCAGGGAGAATGTTGCATGGTCAGTCACAACTGTTAGAGTTGTTGCTAGAGAACAATCAAATAACGGACATTCCAGAATCCTTCCTTGAGGATTGTTTGTCCCTGGAGAAGCTGTCCATTTCCAACAATCGTTTGAGTAGCCTGTCGAAGGATGTTTTGGCTCTACCCCCTCTGACCCGTGTGCAGCTACAAGGGAATCCTTGGAAGTGTGACTGTCACCTGAAATGGTTGCGTGAGTGGATGAGCACAACTGCTGTGGACTACAGACCTGCTTACGGTGTCTCCAAAGTGGCCAGCTGCAGCTCACCATTGCAACATGCTGGCAAACCAATCATCACAGTGTCTGCAAAGGACTTTGTTTGTAAAAACAGTGAAAATCAACTCAAGGAAGATGTGGATTCCAAAGATATCGATAGTGAGACGGCTTCTAACATTATCTACAGAGAGGGGCTGTTGCCAATCATTGTGATTGAAACGATGGAACCTGTACATTCTGGGGATGGAGAATAATGTAATTATGAATATACATGAACATCATACATTGTACCAAGTCCACATACATGTACAATTATTATTATTACTTGAAATACCTCAACATATCATTATTGGTATACCGACTTAAAAACATCTGAAAATAATAGACAGGAATTATCATCGTCAAAAGTTAGAAATAGATTCAAAATGTAGATGTCCGAGTTTTTCTGTTTTAGCCTTGCTCTAGACAATTACTATGGGTTAACTAAGTCTAAGCCAATGTCATGCAATATGTACTATATCTATGGACACCATATTTGTAAAAACATAATTGTTGTATTCAGAAAAAAAATATCATCATGACTGTAATATAAACTGTTTTGCAGCTGTACTCAGTGACTTCAGGCAATTACGATAGGATTAATCTTAACATTATGTTGTATTGTAATGACTTTGTTTTGTATTTTCAGTTTTAAATCTTCCACCTGATAAAGATCATTAAGTATGAGTTTTATGATCATTCACATACATGTACACATAGTTCCACATTTTACTTGACAGTTGGAATGTATGTTATATACAAGTACAGCTCAATAAAGACTTCCTCTGACATACTTTCAGTTATTGTAGGAAGCTGACATTTTGGTGCTTCCTACAATAACAGGAAGTGGGTCAGGGGAAAGCTTCCTTGAACCGCCCTACTAAAATACAGCCTGTGTAGTTGAGAGATATCATCTAGTAGATCTACTTTACACACAACTACAAGCAAAGGGTAATACATGGTCAACACTAGGTACTATACTATAGGTCTGCATGGATAAATCAAGTCAATAAACATCATCACATTAAACACTCAAGTAAGGATGTTAATTAATTCATGAGTCTGATCATAAATGCTACACCTACACTTTTTACTAGCATGAGACACGAATGGCTGAAAAGAAATCTTGATTATAGAAGCAGTTGATTGGTCACAATAAAGTACAAGCTAATTATGACAACGGCTTGATCAAATCTGATCAGATTGTTTACAAATGCTGCAGCAGCTTTTGCACCTTCAAGACAAGGCATCTTAATCTTAATTATATGTCATACCTTCTTCCTGCTGCCTAACCCCAACTTGGTACCAAAAGGCTATTTCAGCAGGGAAAGAATAAAGACTTGGCTAATTATGACATTACAGTTTTCTAGCTCTCATCCTGGGGTGTCTGTTACAGAAATCTGAATGTATCAGAATAATGTACAGACATCATTCAGTACTTCTGTAAGTTCTACAGATACATGCATACGTATATCTTCATGACACAGCAATGAAATTTCATTAGGTTAGATGTCATGACAAATATAAATGTCATAATGACAATTGACAACTATTTTGCCATGAAATAATGGAGATGGGAGTGAAAAATAATAAATTAAAACTTATTTTGGTCACCCATGTAGATGAGGTTTTAGGAGTTGATAATAGGTTAGACAGTTATGTTGAAAACTTTGCAATCATCAGCTATATGTTGGGCCTACAGCACTGTTTAGAAGTGTGAAAAAAGTTTTCCCCATAGTCAAATATGCAATAACCAAAACATGCAATAAATTCCCAACTAATATGCAAATTTATGCAACCACCTGCTAAAAATCAATTTACAACATCACTCCTGACTAATGTTTCATTCCTTTTCAATCAATTATCAAAAATTATTTATACACGGATGCCGTGCAAAGCATGTGACGATGGTAGCGCACAGGAAGAATCAAGTACAAAGTCTACAGTTTAAGATCGGCAGAAGGTTTTTTATGGCCTTACATATAATCTTGATGTAATAATGATAATTAACCCGCTTGTACACCACTGGTTTGTGTTGACTCTACCCTCCCCTCCTGGACTGTCTGGTTGAGAGGAGCAGGAGGTAACTGTGGAGTGGGCTGGTATCTTCTACAGGACCGGCAGCACAGTTTCTGGTAGCCAGGAATGGAGCAGTAGCGTGACAACACATCCAGCTGACAGAAGATAGACTGGTCCCCTGCACAGGTATCCTCTGGGGGGAACATCAAGTATTTATATCTCAGGTATGGGATAGGTCATATGTAAATGTTGTATATGTACTTCTCCAACAAATGGTCTGACATGTAGAAAGTGGGACAGGTTAGCCACAGTAACATCCATACAAGTGTATGCTCACTCCCACAGACTTGCACAAAACACTGGGGACAAGTAGTCATAAAGTGCAAAAATGTAAGGAACTACATTGTAGATGGTGCATAGGGCAGTACCCATCTCGAGTTGAATACATGCCACACAGTCATGCAATATGGTAACTAACGGCAGGGGCTAGTATGACTAGTAGTGGTGTGTGTGTTTAACCCCCATACTCTTTCCCAAATGCTGAGTGTTAAGGACACTCACAGAAAGCAGTCAAAGTCTTTGGTAAGACAAATACAGTACAGTTCCAGTAATGCCTACAATAATCTGGACAGTTTTCTACCTGGGCAGGGCTCTCCTATACAGACTTGTGTGGCAGGAGGCTTCTTCTCCATACAGTGAACATCGTCATCATCATCATCAGCGTCCCAGGGTCTGTTTCCCGGTCCCTGACACACCACCTGTCTCTCCTGTAGACCCTGGCCACAGCTGACAGAGCACTGCAACAATTTCAATTTATTCATTTAACCAGTAATTACAGCTCAGGCCATTTTGGCCTGCTTTACAGGTAATCCTGGATACACACAACAAATACACAGTACATAAACAATTACTAAATACAACAACCTAAACATCAATTGGATCAAGTCCTGCTCCTAATGATCTATTTAAAAGAACTGAGACTAAGGAGCTGTCATTGCTGTAGCGGAAGAGTGTTCCACAGTTAGGGACCATAGTACTGTAGGCTGCTCCGTTATGTCGTGACTTTTGCTGGTGGACAGCAACAATGGACCATGTCATGGAATAGTCATGGCATATTCCACTATCTTTACAAGGGGTTGGGCTGTTGAACAAACCTAGTCATATTAATAAATCAGTTTCAGTTCTGCTATGCTCTTTGTGACTTTCAAATCATCAATGATACCTCATTCACAGAATGTTATGTTTCAATGTCTCATTAGGCTTTCAGTTAAATCATAAACTTTTAACAAGTTATTGGAACAGTAGTGCCAATGCCTTCCAGCTGATTTGTGAGTTTATGTAAGGCCACACCAAGTAAATTTTATGGATGACGTCCTTTGGAAACCCTAAATCTAATGCGAGAGGGCGAAAAAAAAACAAGAAGGGCACTAAAAAACAAGATGCCTAGATAAGAAATATTGCACTGCTGACAGGACCGTCCTGTCTGTTAATAGTTCCAAAAACGGCACTGTTTTGGAGCTATTGACAGGATTTTTTCAGTGCCATTTTTGTTTTCATTTTTTTTCCATTTTTTAACCAGGCACAGGCTTTCGGCGTTACAGGTTTCACATCAATCTGACGATTTGTGGCACTGTCGTGACTCTTTGGTCATAGTTACAGGACGTGGAATTTCTTGTTTTTTTTTCTAGGAACAGGCCCAAATCAATGCGCGCGCGGACGTCATCCATAAAATTTACTTGGTGTGGCCTAACATCACTAGTTTCTGTTTAAGGATGAATAGAAACAGATATATATGAAAGCTAAACATAACTGGATATCAGGCAACACATTTCCCACCTTTGACCACGCCCCAGTTCTCCAGAAGGATGGGCAGGGGACCCTGTTACATGGCTGCCGATTGGCCGGTTTGTCTTCCTTACAGTGCTTGTGATGGACAGGTTCGATGGAGGAGTTGTCAGGCGTGGGGCGCACACATCGGACTGTACGGATCTGGTAACCCTCCATTCCACAGGTCTAGAGCAGTGTTCCCATGCCTCCTCAACCCATCTGGGTAAACATAGGACATTGAACATGAAACAGAAAACTAAAATCCAAAACTGACATAGGCTTGGAAATTTGTAATGGTCTCCACTATCCCATATCAAACTGAAAACAATGTGGAAAAATCAATGTATACATTGAACATCTATAACACTTACGTCAGAATTGAAATATTTCATAAGAATTTTTTATTAATGGCATCAAGTGTAACATTTATACACTATCACATTATCACACACAAATGAGTCCCTTTGTATGTGTGGATGGTATTCTGCACCAAGGATAGGTATGCTTACCGGTGTGTGTGAATTGAGTACCAGGAATAGGTGTATTTGTGTGTTGATGGTGTGTGAGTGGTGTTCAGCTCCAGTGACAGATGTGTTTGTGTGTGGATGGTGTTCAGCACCAAGGACAGGTGTGTTTGTGTGTGAATGGTGTTCAGCACCAGGGACAGGTGTGTTTGTGTGAATGGTGTTCAGCACTAGGGACAGGTGTGTTTGTGTGTGAGTGGTGTTCAGCACCAAGGACAGGTGTGGTTTTGTGGACGGCATTCTACAATTCAACAAAGTTTTTATGAAGAGCACATGATATCAAATCGTCAGTACTATTATACCATGAGGATATGATATCATAGCCTATTACTAGTATACCATGGTGCAAAGAACACCATTCCCTTCCAGAAAACACCAGAAAAGTCATTATGGCTCCAAAACAGGACGTTACCTGGCTTCCTGGCAGGAGTGGATGTTACACTCTCTCCGCAGGACTGCAGGTCGTTCATCTTTGTTACACAGTCGAATGTTCATCACTTTATCATCGCTCTTTCTCTTGCAGGCATACCTCGTGTACTGCACACCTGTAGAAAGTAAACCACAACAGAGGAAACTATAATGTACACTGAAACTAATGAAGAATAGTCCGTCACTGGTTAATAGACTATCATTTGACATTTGACAAAGAATTTAACAAGAACCCTGATTGGCTCCAAGTCATATGGTCCACTGTGATGACATGGTAATACAAGTGTACATGTGGCTATCAAACAGGCATTCTCAATTCTGTTTTGATCCCTATCTAAGTGCTTCTGGCAAACACATATATTCAACACCCAAACTAATTTATTACATAAGTCCACGTACATTAAGCAAATGAGGGATGGATCCGCATAACTTATGTGCAATGATGTTCACCTTCACATAACTTCCAAAACCTATGAAATTTCCCCCATTTACATGTACCACTATGGAAGTCTCTATCTGTATAACCAGTACAATCACCCTTCTGCATAACACACCAGCTAGAAATACACGTACTACAGTAGTATTTTCTCAGTAATAATGTAAATTTGGTCTTTATTTGCATAATCTATGTCCATCAATTTGGGAACAGGTGCCAGATCACTACTATTCTGCAGGGAAGCGATCTGGGGAGAGGACTGAATCAGGTAGTAGAATAAGATGGACTCCAGGCTGAACCACTGACCACTCACCCCACCACATGACTTGGAACACACCGTCCAGGCCCTCATGACCCAGATGTACTCATCAGGACTGCCTCCAGGGATCATGTTGTTGTTGACAGATGGGAGCAGGTCCTCGTGGATCACATACTTGTACGCCAGCGTGGACGGCTCCACTCCTTTTGGGGAGATCTGTCGGGGATATCAGCCCTGGTCAGAATTCTGTTTCTTAATGATGTCTACACCCCTTCCTCTTGTTCTGATAATCCCTTTTAGCTCAATCCACTTCTTGGCATACCAAAATGCTTAATTACTGGGAAGCTCACAAGCCCAACAAACAACCATTCAATGGTCTAACATTAAACAACATGGGAATCAGAGATTGCAGGCTTTACCCGCTGAACCATGTTGTTTCGCAGCCCTTCCAGTTCTGATGAATTGTGAATTGTGGAAATACACACACACACATACACACACACACACATACACACACACACACACACACACACACACACACACACACACACACACACTGTGACACAGATACACACACACACACACACACACACACACACACAAACATGCACACAGACCAAGGAGCTTAATAATATATACCACTAAATCTCCTTGCACAGACAATTCTGCAATCCTAAAACAATACTTCACTGCCATAACATTAACAACACAGATCCCAGATAGAATGGGTGTAGTACAATATTTAGACTTAATTGGATAGATGTGAATGCATACCAGTACAACAATGGGTTGGAGCAGTGGTCCTTTGGTACCCAGGGTTTCACTATCACTGGAGCGGAGGTACGTCCATCGTGCCCCACCCTCTACAAAATGCAGCAAGGCTTCCTTCGTTCCGTGGTCCTTGAGAGCAACAACACCTGTCACTGCATTCTTCAGTGCTGGCAGATAATGATGGAGAATGTCTGGTTAATATCTTCTTATATAAGTCATTCTTTACATTAAGTCAACTGCAGTAAAGTAAAATTGTAACCTGTTCTTTTTCATGTTACCTTGGACTTTTAATGATTTTTCAGATAGGTATTGCAGAAAGATCAGACACTGAAATGGTTTAATACGTTATTACATACATTTGTGCATGTAATATTTACCTAAGCTGTAACCCCCATTAAGATTTATCTGCAAGGTTACACATATCTACCACTTAAAAAAAAAGCATGTGAGATCTCTAGTGCGGCACCCCTTGTTATGCACAGTTTTATATGCAGAATTCTACTAGCTGATGCCGATATCTTTAGACATATTTTTTTCCTGGTAGAATTATGTTACTAGATGTTATTATTTATTAATTACATACTACAGCTCCCTACCGATGAAATGTGGGGATGGTGTTGTCTCGAACACCTCGATGTTCCAGGCACCCTTAGGCAGAACCACAACCTCCTGGTACTCTGTGTCTGACTCCTCATCACTGCCAGGGATGGTGTTACCTGTTGGTACATCACAAAAAGATAAATTGTCGTTCATGGAAAGATTAATTGGAAAGTGCAGCATGTAGATGTATACATGTACTTGCTTTTGCCTTTTTGTATGTGATTCAGTGTTGTAGCCAGCCTGAAACTTGACATAACATCATGTCTTGCACTGAAGGTGTGAGGTGCTGTGCTAGAGGCTCCAGAGGTCTTCTTTCGCAACCGTTCGGAGTCTCTCTATTTTTGGATAATCACACTATCAAAACAGCTATGTCGGATAGACAGCATTTGCATCATTGTGTATTTAGCCTGGATGCCAGAAGGATTCATGGGAAAACTACATACCTGGTCTAGGAGCCTTGTCAAACGTGCCTTTGATAGTTTTACATTTAGTACTGTCCCCACCGCAGACCCCACAGTTGTCAAACTCTTTGGTAGACTGCAGCTTTCGGTCACATCCAACAGTCTGTGGACAAGAGAGATAGTAACAGTCAGGTCAAGCACATCTTGATACAGCAGACAGTGGAAAAATCATCATGTCAATTCATTACCAAAATTGTGAAGTAGTTAAATGTTCAAAAGACTGTCTTGCATATTTGTCTTCAATCTTCAATACCAAGCACATCAACTATAGTTATGACTTTTGTTAAAAAAGTTGCATCCCATTTTGACTAATAGACAAACTAACATATTCATGGTACATACAGCAATGTTGAATAAATGTTCTTGTAGACTAAATGACCACCTCGCATTTTCCGAGAGCGCAGATGTTTGTAGGGTTGTCATAGGAGCACCGAGTTCCATCAATGACATCACCAGGGAATCTGTGGATGTCACCCTTCTCACGTGATATACATTGGAGCTTGCAGGGGCTCTTTTCTGCAGAATTAAGTGTGCAAATATTTCATTTTTTTAACACACATGGCAGTTAAAAAACAGTATGCCTTATACATAACCTTTATGCAAGGCTTAGAAATAGGTCACATACACATACATGTATTGGCATAGGGACAGCCTATACAGAATTTCTGCATAAACACGCACACACACACACACAATGTACCTGTACACAACCAACAATCTGAGATACACACACGGCGTCACACGCAGACACAGACATGTGCAGACACACACAACACACTGATCGAGATACACGCAGACACACAGACACACACAGGCACACACAAAAGCCAAAAAATATCATATTGCCCATCACAAACCTCCCTCCGGTTGATGTGGTATCCAGTGGTGAGTAGTTCCTAGGATCTCTTCAATGTCGTGCACACTGCACTGCTGGGCTCGGAAATCCACAGGGGAGTCAGGGCAATCCTACATAACAACGTCCAATATGTCAGTCTGAGACTCAGCTTTAGAATGTTTACACAGTGACTTACAGTGCTGAACGTTTGGCCCAGAGAAGTATTTCTTACTCCCATCTACATGTACACTTTGTAAGATTTATACAAGAGCATTATCATTTGGCACCAGGCTTAAAAGTTGTCATGACATAAGAAAAGATTCTTTTAACAAGCAAAACTATACTATTGGTAGTGAAGAACCAGTACGATACCTAACCTTACCTGTGTGTTACATAATTCAAATTCCTGACTTTGTCCCTTGCAGTCAGAACCCCCTCTCTCTGGTCTACGAGAACAAAACAAAATGCAACTTGGAAGGTGTAGCTATCAAATATTGGACTTCATCAGTTATGAAATACAATTTTTTTTCAGGTTTAAATGTCATTTGAACCAACAAGACCAAGGATTTGGAATAATTAAACAAAAACTTACTAGAAAAAAAAACTCAGAGAAATACCGGTAGGTTAAACTGACCTTGGATTATCGCATGTGCGGTGTCTGACTCGGATGCCGATGTCACATGTCCTGGAACACTCCTCCCAGGCTGTCCACGTACTCCACCCCCCGTGGATGGCAATGGGATGTTCCTTCTGACAGGAACCTTGTAGACACCACTGTACACGAACAGATTGAACAAACATTCAGTTAGAACAAACATTCCGTTAGACAAAACATTACGTCTAGTTCTAGAGTGAAGCACAGAATGGAAAACATAGTATTCTACACCAATTAATTTGCTGTTTCTTGAATGTTTTTAATGCTCTGTTAATTCTTACTCAAACACATTCATACATATGGTCAGACAGGAGTCTAAATCCCTCCTGCTATGAAATTGCAACATAATGTAACCCAACACTAGTTACCATGGCAACAGGCACAACATTGGTTCAGGTCAGAGATCACTGTTTGGAGAAGAAGACGAAGAAGAGGAAGAAGAAGAAACTGAGAAAAAGAATATGTTTTCCTTTGGTAAACATAAATATACACCTTACCATACAAACGTTAGAAAAATAACAATGTGACAAAAAAGAAACTTACCAGCCTGTCCCCACATGACGTCCCATCCAGAGCTGGTCCTTTCTTAGTCTTACAGAAGAACGGGTTACCAGGATGGCTGCACCACAGCTGTTTACATGGGTCATATGTCTTGAACTAGAGAGTAAAAAATAAATATAATTAGCTTTGTCACAAATACACACAAAACAAAATGTCTGTTCAATGGCTAGCTTACTTGTGACCTAGGGAAGCACAATATCAATTCTATAATATAGATATCAAGTCATAAATCTGACCTCTGTATATACAAAGCAAAGATGGGGATAAAATACAGGTACAATGATTTTTATTGCCCTGTGGCCTTTCTCTTCCTACTTGAAAAGGACAAGTTTATCCATATCTATCACAGTATAACAGTATAACACTGGAATCCACCTACTGCAGTACAGAGTCTGTATCCTCCTCCAAAGTCAAAGGTACATTGTTCATCCATGGAGTAGTTTATGCCGGGATACTCTGGGATTTTAGGCCAGTCTTTTTCAAATGGATCATCATCAAGGCAGTAGTAGTCACTACAATGTTAAAGGAAGAATATTAATATCATCACATTGTCTATGGCAAACACTCGAGACCTTTATTTGCAATCAGATACAGATTAATGTACAGACATATTCATGTACAGATACAGATTTATGTACAGATATACAGATACAGATTTTCTGAGTATGATCACATTAAAACATCTGAAAACCAATAAAATAAACTAGCTAACAGACATATTCATGTACAGATACAGATTTATGTACAAATATACAGATACAGATTTTCCGAGTATGATCACATTTAAAACATCTGAAAACCAATAAAATAAACTAGCTAACAGTTATATATAGTGTGGCCGAGATAATACAGGTGTTTCTATGATAGTAGATGAATTGGCCCAATAACCTACCTGATGTGTTGTCTAAGCTCCATCTGACTGCATCTGGACCAGTGGTAGCGGCTGAATGTAGCCTGTACCAGTGGTGCCATGATGCTTCCATAGGCAGTCTCGTCAGAACAGTCATTACCATCACCATCATGCTCCATACCTAGGCTGAACAATGGGAAAACATTCGAGCTATTGCCAGATAAAATGGTAGATGTGGTTTTTGGTCATGTTTCCTAGCACCTGCACCAAGCATACATTACATGGGGAAGATCATCGTAATCATCCTCACAAATGTCTTGGCAGATGGACATCACTGGAAGAAGAACATTGACTTACAGTTTTACTGGGATGATTCTACAAGTCTGTTAATGCAAATTACTGTCTTAAGAATAAATATTGTCTTTAATATATTTAAATACTATTAAAAAGAGTCTTAATCATACACACTGTCCTAAGTATACAAACTGTCTTAAGTACATGCATAAATATATAAATGCTGTTAGAGGAATGAATATTCAGTATAAATACTTAATGCAGTCTTTCCAAAGGTTGACATACTTGATATGCACTCTGATTATTTTATATAGGTGACATTGTAATGTTATAATATGTTTCAACATCACAAATGAAATTATAAATGTACAGAAGGTCAGAGATCTTACACATGACCGGTCTCGTGAGCCACCACGAAGGCTGAGGAGAATCCGTCCTCGTGGTTGAGAGTGCAGCTGCGGAGCTCGTGACACATGCCTGTCACCGGGGCGTAACCTGTGGTGGGAGAAGGCAGAGGGATGCACCATTGACTCTCTCAGGGGCATCAATTAACACTTACTACATAGTCATGCATTCTGTATGTAGCACGTTTTCATGGCCATTTCCAACCATAATATAGTGTTAACATTGCTTGTTGTGACGTTACAATGATGTCATAACAGCACATGATATTCACTGCAAAGATAAGTGATATGTTGATTGAATGAGGAGTGCAGCTCATTACTTAGTATCTAGTGTAGGAGTAACCTGGATGCCAGCAGACTTTCCAGCAAGTTGAAAGTTGAAAGTTGAAAGTTGAAAGCAGCCTGGCTGTTTCTAGAAGTGTTGTTAGACCATGACAGTTTCTTTTCGAGGGTGAATTGTATATGGGGGATGGCGGCTTCAGCCCAGGGTGTCTAGAGGAAACAAATGCTGGCCACTAGAAAGTCTGTGCAGGAGGCTGGATGGCAGCCTTGTTTAATCTCCAAGCAGATTCGGTGGGGCAGGGGGACTTTATATTGGCCAGTCCTGTATCCATTGGCCGCCTGTATCCAACGTT